GTGCCTTCCCTGGAGCATCCGCCAGGCAGAAGCTGCTGTAAAAATTCTGCCAGCCTTTCTTGACAACTGAATCCCAAAAGGACTTTCCAAGAACCCAGCAGATAAGAAGAGTTCATGCTCTAGGGGTCCCTGTAACAAAAGCAACCTCAAACCTGAGACAGGAAATGGTAAAAGATAAAGGCAAGTGGACCCCTAAGATACAACAGCCTCCCTCTTTCATAGGAACCCAGCTAGTGGGAGTGAACTAAGAGGAGGACAGGCAGACCTGGTACTCCCCGACACAGACTTCTCAGAGAAACGGTAGAGGTGCTGCACACAGCCAAGCAAAGGCATACGGAGGTGGGGAGCCACACGCTCTCAACTACACATCATCCTCCAGGGCAGCACCCACTAAGGTCCTGTGCTCTGGAACAGAATCTCAGATCACCTTGCCCAAAGACTCACCAGCCCATTGGAGAACCAGGCAGGAATCTGTGACAGCCTGAGGTCCAAGCTCATTTGTACTACCTACCGATGCTACCACTTCCTGTATGCATTTGTGGGACAAAGATGAGGGAGCTCAAACTCGCGTCTTCATCCCTCACAGGGAAAAACAAAAACAAAAAAAAACTCATGTCTGGAGCTGGGAAGCCATGTGCCCAAAGCCCCGTGGGAGATGTGGGGCACATACCACACAGGAGTCTGGCCTCCTGATTCTGGTTCCCACCTTCTTTCTGCTGACACCCCACAATGGCTTCCTTGGTTTCTTAGAGTAGGACCCAGGCCAGGGTCTCTCCTCCCAGCTGCCCCACTCAAGAGTTTTGGTCCCTGGCTCAACCTCAGGGCTGGGTGAAACTTCCTAGCAGAAAATCTTTATGTAATAGACACTTGACACTCTGTGGGACAAGGATGTTGACAAGACAAATGAGGAGCTCACTGGATGTGCAGCTTCCAGTCAGCATCTTGCTATCTGCTACCCAGTGGTAACTGGGCCAGGCATGGCTCTGGAACTGTGTTGATCCAGCCCAACAAAAGAGTCAACAGGATCATGTGGCAGTCACTTCTCTTGTTATCATGGCCAAATGACTGACAGAAGCCACTGAAAGGAAGACAGGTTTATTTTGGCTTATGGTCTGAGAGGACACAATCCACCATGGCAGGGTTATATATGGGGGTCAGTTGGTCTATGAAAATGGAAGCCTGAAGTGACAGGTTTCACATAGCATGGGTCAGGAGTCTGGGGACTGGGACTAGAAGCAGGGCTAGATTATAAGACCAACCTAGAGTGACTTCCTCCACCAGCTGCGCTATCCAGAAGCTTCTGCAACTTCCCAAAATAAAAACACCACCAGGCTTCAAAGACATTAGCCTATGAGGGACATGTCACACTCAAACTATAATGGAGCACCACAGCATCCGATGCCTGGGCCGTACGGAGGGCACTGGACTGGAACACAGTTCCAGAGCTATTCCTGGCCCAAGTTATCAGGGCCAGTGGGTAGCAGCAGGTAGCAAGATGCTGACTCTGGAAGCTGCACATCCAGTGATCTCCTCATTTGTCTTGTCAACACCCTTGTCCCACAGAGCATCCGAGTGTCTATTACATAAAGATTTTCTACTAGGAAGATACTCAAAGGCTGAATCCAGGAAACAATAGGAGCCAGGGTTAAGGTGAGGACCTTGGACCTCCAGCATTCATATAGCAAACCCAAAAAGCACATGTCTACACTGTAGTCATCAGCTGGCATCTCGTCAATGGGCAGCAGGCACATTGGGTACATTTAGACCTCCAATATGTCCCCACCACAGCAGGCTATGTCAACAATGTCCTCATCCTGCATGTGAGCCTCAGAGCACAATCTCAGAAGGACGAATCCATAGAGGATTTATACTCCAATCTAATCCAAAACTGTAAGATTTGGAATGTTAGTTGGAATGGGCTTTAGTCAGTCGATTATATAACCTAGCCACATAGGGTGGCCACAATTTATAAGATAGTTATCACTGTACCTACAGGCAGAGCCAGAAGGAAGCCTACTCTAAGCACAAAGCTACTGTTGGATAGGACCCTACTGGGGAGCCAAAAGCAGAGTGTTGTAACTGGCCAGCTTTGAGATCTCCATCTACTTCTACCATCCCCAATTGCCACGAGGGCCCAAGACCATGTCCAAATGGCCACTCTCTGGCTACTATAGTTTGAGTATTTTGTTTGTTTTGTTGTGTTGAGATGGGGTCTTATTGTTAGCCTAGGATTCCCTTAAACTTACTATGTAGACCAATCTGGCCTCAAACCAGCAATTCTCCTGCTTCTGTCTCCTGAGTGTTAGGATTAAAGGTGTGTGCCACCATGCCTAGCTCTATAGTTTTAACCTTATATGGCCCCAAATGATCATATATGAAAGACTTGCTCCTCTACTAGAGAGGGAGCAGAAAGTTTAAGAGGTAGGACCTAGTGGGAGGTCTTTAGATCACTGGGAGTGTGCCCTCAAGGAGACTAGAGAGTCCCGATCTCTTTCTTTTCTTCGATTTCAGTTCCCAGATATGAAGTGAACAGTATGGATCCATGCCACAGCCATCACAACATACTGCTGTGGGTGCCCAGCAGCAAGTGAACCAGTCTAACACCTCAGAACCTGTGAGCCAGAGGGAGCCTTTCCTCCCTAAGTTGATGACATCAAGAATTTTGTATAGTAATAGAACACAACAAACACACTGGCCGAAGTCTCCCTTCTTATGAGAATCCCGGATCTCTCCCACCAGGGACACACACTCCATCCCCCTCAGGGTCATCTAAAGGAGGCATCTTCAGATGGAAGGGAAGGTATCATGTCTAAGTAGCAATTTGGTCTTCTGGGTGCACAAAAACAAACAGACATTCCAAGTGGCTGATGGCCATCCAAAATTCAACCCTATGACACAAACTTTATTTCTTGGTACTTAATTTCCCTACCTGAAGGAATTATTCCTCCTTCCTTAGAGGGATAATAATAACAAAAGGCAACTGAGAAGCATTGTTCTAGAGACTAGGAAGCTCACAGTTTGGGGCAGTGCTTCTTAACAAGCAGTGAGTCTGCCCCACAGGGGACACTTGGCCGTGTCTGAAGACATTTGTGCTTTTCACACCTTGGGAATGTGTAAGTGCATCTAGAGACAACTCTTCAGACAATGCTAAACATTCTATGATACACACACCAAAAGAAACTGCTGACAAGGCCGAAGTGTCCCCATTGCTGCTGTTAAGAACCAGGGTTCAGAGTAATAGGAGCCCTAAAAGGTTCCAAAGCCTGGAGCCCAGATCCCTGTACTCAGATTCAGAGAACAAGCTTTAGTCTGGCCACTAGAACTGGTAAGAGCTGACCACACACACACACACACACACACACACACACACACACACACACACACACACACAGACAGAGACAGAGAGACAGAGAACAGTTCCGAGATGGAGAATGCTGGCCCCAGCACCTCCCAAACATAGGAGGGAATAGCAAGAAGAAAGGGTAACAAACCTCATCTAGTCCTTTTTTCTAATGTTTTTCATGTATATGTGTGTGCATGGACATTCATGCATGTACAGGTATGTGTATGTGTGTTCATGTATGCACAGGTGTGTATGCATACAGAAGCCAGAGGATTATGTTAGACATCACCCTCAGGAATCCCATCCACCTTTATGGAGACTGGGTCTCTTACTGACCCGGACCTCAAAATTAGGCTAGTAGCCAGGCGGTGGTGGCGCACGCCTTTAATCCCAGCACTCGGGAGGCAGAGGCAGGTGGATCTCTGTGAGTTCGAGGCCAGCCTGGTCTACAGAGCGAGATCCAGGAAAGGCGCAAAGCTACACAGAGAAACACTGTCTCAAAAAAAACAAAAAAAAAAAAAAAAATTAGGCTAGGAAGGCAGGTCAGCAAGCCTCAGGGAATCCTCCTGCCTCCACCTCTCCAGCCCTGGGATTACAAGTTTGCATCACCATGCCCAACATTTTTTATATGGGTGCTGGGAATCAAACACAGGTCTTCATGCTTGCAAAGTGAGTGTTTTACTGGCTAAATCACTCCTCTATCCCTCATTTCATTCTCGAGCATGGGCCCAACAGGCAAAGCAAGAGCCCAGCATGGTCTTTCTCATTCCTCAAGGAATCACCCAGGAGCAGGCGATTCCCACCTCAGATGCCTCTCTGGTGGCTCACGCAGTGGAAAGGAAACCCACAGCAGATTGGATAGTGGGGACATTAATGTAGCTGAGTACGCCTTATCTGAACTGCTAAGGACCAGACATGCTCAGTATTTCAGATGGTCACCGGTTTGAGGCTATTTGCATATTCCTAATGAGATGTCACAGAGATGGGACCCAAACACAAAACTGGTTTGTTTCATGCATACAGATACACACAGCCTGAAGGGCCTCTTATACAATACTTTCAGTACACCTGCCTTTTCACTTTGCCCCATCACATAAGGTCAGGTGTAGAGTATGCCCCCCACGGCATCATCTCGGTACTCAACATATTTTAAATCTTAGAGCAATGTTGGATTTGGGTGTTTTGGATAAAAGAGCCTCAATCTATAACAACAAACATGACCAGAATTTCCAGAACACACACAAGGATTCTTCAGCATGCCATGTGCTTTACACTCCACTGACTCACTACCAACCCAAGCAGATAGGGACTTCTTCACTCACAAATGAGGGAACTGAGGCACAAAGAGGTTGGTAAGCAACCTGAACAAGGAACATGCCAAACAGAAGAGCCAGAGAAGTAGAACAAGAAATGGGTGACAGAACATCTGAGCGGCATCAGGTTTCAAGATCTATCCATGACCATCAAGGACCCAGACAGAGGCTTAACTCCAGGCACTACTGAAGGAAGGCCAGGGAACTTCCTAAAAGCCAGGAGCCAAGGCTCAAAAGTGGAGTCAACAGAAGACCAGGAAAGACAACTGAGCCCAAGAGATGAATGGGTTACATCACAGGGATGAGAGGAAAACACAGGACAAGCACCAGTGAGGGTCACTTACCTGAGAAGATTGAAGCAAGCCTGAAGATGTCTGAGAGGCGTGAGGTCACAGGCTCATAGGGGGAAGCTTCATAGAACTCCTCACCTGGAAGAGAGGCGGGGCATGAGACACAGGCTCCTCTCAGGTAAACCACCAGACAGCAACTCTGCCTAAGAAAATTCTACAAACACACTCCAAGCCATCTAGGATGTGAGGGAGGCCAGCCCTTGCTGAAGTGGAAAATGCTGTGCAGGCAAGTTAGGGGTGAAAGTTCATAGCATAGAGACAAGTTATGTCTCACCAATCAGAGCAGGTATGACTGCTTGCCATGTGACTTCCCTGCAGGAACGACCCTCTTTAAAGGAGTCTGGGAGAAATGGTAGCCCTGGGAAGGTCAAGTGCAAATCGCAGAATCTGGAGACAGAGGTCCTACTAAAATTTTTAGTTCAACTTCCCTGTTTCACAAGAGAAGGCTCGTGGGTAGCCCAGCAGCGTAGCACGTGGGAGTGGGGGTGTTACACAGCTTCGTGTGGCAGGCCCAGGGCTCACGTGGTCTCCTGGAGACCCACACTCAGAATTTCCCCTTTGCCTCATGTCATGTCACCAGAAAGAGTCTAGCTAGGAAGGTCGAAAGTCACTAGGTGAAAGGTCTGACCCCACGCGCCTATTTCCCTGGCCTCTAACAGACACCCTTCTAACCTCTCCATGACCTGCTATCTCATGTGCCTCCTCAAAGCTTCAGAGGGCATCAGAGACTTGTAGTAGAAAGGCAAGTGAACGGCCGGAAATAAATGGCCCGGGATGCCCAGGAGACCCCCCCACCACATTATCGAGAATCCCATACCCTCAGCGGACACCTTGCAAGAAAGGAAATATCCCCAGGAGACCTGACCAGTGAGGAGAAATCAATGCAAACTCGCTCAGACTGAGTGTGTGGTGATGGGGAGGGGCAGACAGGGGGTGACCCACAGCCCCACACATTGATTTCCTATCCAGCAGGGCCGGGCGCCACAGGCAGGCACCCTTGCCTACCGAGCGCCTGGGTGAGTAGCATCTATGAAGGATGTCCCTGGAAGAGGAAGCAGAGACTGCCCCTTAAGAGGTTCCTTTATCCAGCCCAAGAGGCCACAGAGAAGCGGGACTCGAGATCCAGTTAGCCCTGGGATGGTTCAGAGCTACTGAGTACTTTCTTCATGAAAGAAGGTACCTGCAACCTTGAGCAAAGATAGCCTAAGCCTGGGGAAGAAGCTCACTCCCTCCCGTTGAGAGGAGCTCCAGCCTGCATTTTGCCTCATAGGAAATGCTGCGTGCCAGGCAGCACCCAACACACACAGTGTGTGCCCTACTAGAATCTGCCTGAAGCTTCCTCCATTGCCTCTCATGGTCTAAGTGCCATTGCCACCCACTGCACCCACTGAGGCTCAACTTACTCTCTCCTGGGAGACTCCTGGGGCTGGGGCCCCCAGGCACTGCCACATAGTAAACCCAAACAATGTAAGAGTGTGAGAATTGCTGTTAGGATTTAAAAAAAAAAAAAATAATAAAGTTGCATGCACTCTCTGCATGCCGCAGCCCCAAACACACTTCAGACACACTAACTTACTCTCTTCTTCGCTGCTCTGATAGGTAGGCGCTATTGCTCCCCCACTGTGCTGACAAGGAGCAAGGAGCGTGCAGGGAAGTAACTTGCTCCAAAGTGACTTGGTTTCGTTGCCTAGTAAGCAGCAGAGCCTGACTTTAGACCTGGGGTGGTAGTACTAGAGTACAATGCTCTCTCACTTTTTGACACTCTCCCAAGAATCATGTGGCTCTTCAATAGGCCCTGTGGTCAGAGCCCTGCTGCCCCTGCACTGCCCCTGCACTGCCCCTGCACTGCCCAACTGCCCCCTTGCCCAACGGTAGGAAACACAGCCCTGTGTCTGGTTGCAGGACAGCCTACACCGTTGACTAACCAGGGGTCCTCCCTCTCTATGCCCACTATCATTTAAATGGTCTATTCCTGCTGCTGGGAAAACCAGGTAACATCAAGTGTGGGCCACTGAAACCAGATCCAGGGTGCAGATCCTGGATACTGACACATGGGGTGGGCCTTTGCTCTTCATGGTCTAAAGATCGGGGACCCTGAATTTCAGAGTCACCTTTGGAGCAGCCATTGGTGACATCCCCACTGTGGCCATGCATGGTTATGATGACAAGAAAAAAAGAGACCACCACTCCCCACAGCCCTTTTCCCAGCCACAGGATCACCCTCGGCACAACCAAAAGAAACCTGGATATGGTGTGAGGACCCTGGATTCAGCCACCAGCTTGCTGTATGCCCTGGACAATCATTCTACCCCTGTGACTCAGCTTCCCCTACAAACAGGGTCAATGGATTGCAGCTCTGACTCCCTAAACTCAGTGGCCACATCTTCAGGGGTCATATGCCTGTCACACTGGCTCCCCTTCCTCCAGTGCCACCTCAGCTCCTGCTGCAGGTGTGGGGTTCTGGCACTGGATGGAGGAAACAAAAATCTGGGCAAGAACAACTGACCTCAGGGTCAGAGGGAAACCAAGAATTGGAGGAAGGTCCCATTCCCCACTCCCACCCCATCTCTCCTCTCTCGGTGGGTCTTGCCCTCCCCTGGGCCCGAGGCTCAGCCCAACTACTAAGCATTATTAAGGTGTAAGGAGAAGGTACCTACAGCCTCCCCCAGGAAAATGACTCAACCTTACCATGAATTGTTAACTCTTGGGCAGACCTTATCACTCACAGGGATATAACCTCCTGCTCAAAGGCCTCCTGGCCTCTCCTGATGGATCCTGAACAGTAAGTCTCCAGCCCTGAGACCTAGGAGAAGAGGTAGCCTCTTAGAGGGAAGAGGCAAGTGTCCATAGAAGGGGGCAAGCCAGAGTGTATTTCTGGAACCCTCTGATGACAAGTATAGGTTCTACAGTTTCTGTGGGACCCATACCCTCGGAGGCATACAGTAGAGGTCACAGGTGGTCACTGAATGAACTCAAAAGTCATCACCAAACATGCAACCAAAGACAGCCATGTGCAGTGAGGTATTCCAAGTCCAAGAGGGCCTTGAAGATCCCATGGTAGTGACAAATCAATCCACACAGCATCACACTCACTGCTGCCATCACACAGAAATGCCTCACTCCTACTGCTTCTGATCACCAGTTGTCCTGCACACTGGCAAGACAATGCCAAAGGGAGCCACCAAGGCGAGAGGGCTGCTCCTGCTAAGAAATCCAATCAGCCCGAGATACTTCTAGTCAGTTCCATCACTTCCCCTATCTGCTGCTACACAACCCATCCTAGCCCACCTCCACCAGCTGTCTGAAGGCCTAAGTTCAGTTCCCAGCAGGCTCATACTGTCTGTAACTCCCAACTCCAGAGAATCCTGTGCCTCTGGTTTCCATGGGCACCTGCAGGCACCTGCACATAATTAAAAGTAATCAAAATAAATACTTTTTAAAACCTCTGAAAATGAAAACAAAAGACAAAAACTATCCACTCCGAAAAGCAAGAGGCTCTATGATGTGCATACCAGAGGCAGGCCATTAGGTATACAGTTCCTCATGTCATGTGTGGAGAAGTACATGTGTGTTAGGACAGCCTTGCCTTCTTCAGGGCTTCTAGCTCCCAAGGAGGCATACAGTAGAGTTCACAGGTGGTCATTGAATGAACTCAAAAGTCATCTCCATGGAGTTGACTGGAGAGAAGTAGACACCTAATGCCTGTGGAATCACTCTGCTCTTGATGGCAGTAATACCATGACTAAACATATCCACTTCCTATGTTCAGAGCATATCTAAGCCATCTTGGTGACTGCTGGGGATCCCTCTCTCTTAGGACTCTGTAGCTAGACTCCTCCCTCCTTTCACCCTCCCTTCTGGTACTCTACAAGGGAACTCTTCTCTCATCTTAGGCTAATGGGCCAGCTCTGTCCCTGGACCCACCCCCGTCCTCACTCCCAGAGGCATAAATACACAGAGAACCTTCCTGTTGTCTTCCCCCGACCTCTCCATCACTCCTCTCTTCCTTTGGGGTTTAGACAGCCCCACCTTCTCTCACCTTTAAAAGAGAAAATAGGTCATCCTTCTGTTCTCTTTACAAAAAGAAAAAAAATCTGGGAGAAGTTATCCATATTCATCATGTCCAATCCTCTGCCTCCATTCACTCCCTAACCAGGGCTCTGTCCCCAGAAGCCTCCTTGGGTAAGAGGCTTACCCAAGTGGCAACAGGAATACCTCAGTCTTTCTCCTGCTTGAGCTGAAGTGTGTGAGCTGTTGAGAGTCCTCTGTTTCCTTGATGGTCCTCCCAGTCCTCTTCCAGATCCTTCCCAGTCACCTGTGTGCATCCCTTCCCTCACCTATCCTTTAACGACAGTGGTCCAGGAGCTCCCCCACCACCCTTGTTCTGTGATTGTACCCACTGTCTTAGCTCCAGCTTCTCAACACAGGCTCGTGTCCACTCCAGAATCTCTCTAGAACCATATCCTCCCCTGAGCTCCATGCCTGCATGTCTGTGGGGCTTGACCCAATGACAGGTAGGGAGCCCCAGAGAAACACCACACCTCCTGTCTTCTTCTAACCAAAGCCATTGCAGGCACAGGAAGCTGGGGGTCTTCCAGGGCCCACGCTTTCCCTTCCCAGCTCATAGGCAGTAGTTGCCAAAACATGTTGATTCTACCTTGCTACGTCTATCTTCCCCTTGGTTGCCCTGTCTGTTCCTGTCTTTATCCCTGCCTGGGGTCACAGTCCCTACAACTGACTGTCTTCCCTAGAACTACATGGACATTCTTCTGGAGTATCAAACTGATCAGCTCCCTTGAAATCTGAATTAAAACCATTCAGGCTTCCTGTTGTCCATCAGGTCCCTTTCCTCCTAGCCCCCAACCCTTCCAATCCACACTCTGTGTTGTCTGGTTACTTCCAGTTCTTGAAGATTCAATTCTCAGGCCTGACCCTAACATGCTTCTCCCGCCACCTGCCCACTCTTAGTATTTCACCTGGGTGGTGACTCCATCCCAGCCTAGAGTCAGCACCTTCCCAGAAGGCTCTTTAGATTTTTTTAACAAGGACTTAGATGCCCCTCTGAGGCATCCTACCATGCCCTGGGTTCTTCCATCACAACACTTATGCCTTCAAATGGCAAGTTCAACCTTCTTTACTGCACTCCATCCCAGGCTGTAAGTTCCATGAAGGCAAAGACAACACCAGATTCTAGACTATTCCAGCACCACAAAGCAACAATGCACTCTCAACAAATGCTTGCTGACTTAGTAAATGAACATCTGGCCAAGGTGACCAATCATCCTGAAGTATATGCAAATCTCAAGGCCCTGTCTGAACCAAGGAGGAGTATTGAAGAGGTGTCACTGGGGGAGGAGTTCTCAGATTCTCCCTTGGGCAGACTTGGGAGGAGCTTGCCTAGAGACTTAGGACCTGTTGCTCACGTCCCATCCTGAGCTCCTAAGCTCTGTATCAAGTGCCTAGGTCAGCCATTGGACCCAGAGACCACATGAAGAGAGCAAGGTTCTGGGCTCAGCTCCAGGCAACAGGGCATCAGAGTGGCAGGGGCTGGTACCTCCCGTTCTCTATCTGCCTGGTGCCTCTTCCCTCTCCTGGGCACAACTTCATGCTGCCCTGGCTTGCATCCCGTCATCCAGCTCATCCTCCATCCTGGTCATTGCCCTTTCTCCATCGCCATTGTCGGCCTAGGCGGGGTAGCTACTTGCCCTCAATTCTAGGTTCTCTTGTGCGGAAAACAGGGAGCAGATCAGATCACCCTTCTACCAAGTCCTCCTTTCTGACCCCCTGGCTGGATACATTCCTTTAGCCACCACCGCCCTTCCTCGGGGCCCACCCAGGCTTACCCTCGGTCAGCCCCAGATGGATGCTCCAGTAGATCTGCAGACACTGCAGCTCCTTCTTCATGCCGCGCTTGCAGCGGCAGTCATACAGTGGGCTTTCCTGCAAGACCTCCAGGGCCGCCTGGCACTCCTTATTGGCCAGCATGGTATTGCGATCCCGGCCTGCCAGGCACTGCCGAAGGGTACGGTACCTGGAACTGCAGTTGGATTCAGCCGCACACAGCTCATTGGCCCGGACACAGTCCACTGGGGGGCGCCAGCCGTGGAGCTCAGAGCCCTGCAGGGAGGAAGGGCTGGCCAAAGAGCGGAGGGTTTCGTCTGGGTAGTGGGGAGGGAAGACAAGCATGAATAAGGGCTACCATAGTCTCCGACCCCAAGGCAGGCCTAAGGCTTGAAGGAACTTCTCACCCGCTTTTATACCTAAGTACACCAAGATCAAGGTCAGCTCAGGCCCAACCTAGTCAGCCATGTTCCCCTACAGCGATGGTTCACATTCATTTCCTCCTTGAGCACCATCCTAGGCAGTGGAACACCTCAGGATAAATCCAGGAAGGCCTTCACTGAAAGCTGCAGGTGGGCTAACATGCCAATAGTCCAGACAGAATGTCACCACCGCCTTAACAAGGCGTGGTAGGGTTTGGGCAGAGTGATCTCACTTCAACTCCCAACCTACAAACCTCTGCTCCATCCAAGGCCTTGGTTTGAAGGCACTAAAAGTCAATGAACCTTCAGAGACTGTCTGGACCTTAGAGAGACCCAAGAAGCAAGCCTCAACATCATATTCCACGGAAGTTCAAGTTCAAAGGAGGGAGAGAACTCAAGGTCACACACAGAGAGGCAGAAAGCCCCCTCTATCCCTTAGCCTCATCCTTCCACGTCATCAGGCTTTTAGAAGACAACCAGAAACCAGCCTAACCCTGTGGTCCAGGAGGCCCGGGAGGGAGAAGCAGAGACCCCTTTCAGAACTTGCCTTTCCATATTTGCCAACTTCACACCAGACAGTGGCCTGACCAAAATGCCTGCATGGCCAAATTCCACCCCAGCCCCCTGCGAAAGAGAATGCATTAGGCCAAGCACAGGAGCAAAACTGCTCTCCCTGGCGCTCCTTCCCTATCAGGACTATCCTCTGCCACCTCCAACTCTCATCTTCTCTTGCTTCCTGTCTCCCAGGGGCTCTGTTCTCAGCATACCTCATCACCTTTTCCCTTTGAGCCTCCTTTTCCTTCTTTTCCTCCCTATACTACCCTGAAATACCTAGTTGTTTTTTTTTATTCCTTCCAAAAGCAAAATAATCAATCAATTACAGAAAAGGAAGAACGTCCCTCCTCCAGGCCCTGCCTACCAGCCTGAGCTGGCTTTAACCCACCCCTCTTATCTGCTTCCAACAGTATCCTCAGAAGGGAGGGGCTTGAAGACTGGACATGAAGGGCAGAGAGAAGCTGGCCAGACCCTTTCAAAGCCAAGCTCCCAAAATGGTTTCCTCCAGATATGGACGACATCTTCTGTCTCTCTCTGCTTGCTAAACTTCTAACTCCAGACCCTGCAAACCACCCCCCCCAAAAAAAAAGCCCCACATCACTGCTAGAGCAACGACTGCCTTCCGAAAGACCCAAAGAATAATTTGAGAGACTTCCTCCACTCCCTCCCACTCCAAAACAGAATAAAATTCTAGGCCATTAGTCCCTTCCTCAGAATACCGCAGAATTCCCCCACCCCATTCTTGCCCAGCCGCTCTCAGGCCTTCTCCCTGGGAGGCCCTGCTCATGGGGGAGCTACTGCAGGGAGACAGCGACACCTACAGGTAGAGCTGCACACAGCAAGCCTATCACTCCCCAGATCCCCTGCTGGGGGGAAAGAAATCATTCCCAATGGGCCTCGGGCCTTTCCCACAAGGAAACAGCAAAGGAGATGATGAAGGGGAGTTGGACTCCCGATGCAGGAGGCTCCAGTTAGAGCAAAGGAAATTTTCTTCTCTCACTGACCATACTCCCGTCCCAGAACAGAAACAGCTGAAGAACGTAACCACACTGAGACGAAACATGAGGTAGAAACCTATACGGAGCAGGAGTTACTGGAAGCAAGGTCTGCCCAGGCGCTAGCCTTAGCTGTGTCCTCCACAAACGCTGAGGTAGCAGCTCTCTTTCTAGGCTTCAGCAGATTCCTACATCGCTTTACAGGACTCTAGTGCCTCTGGGCCACCCAGGAACAGCTGAATCACCACGCCCCCGACTTGCACCTGTCTGCCCCTCTCCGTCAGCCAATCCTGAGCTCCCACTGACTTGTCCCAGGGTTGCAGCAGGAGTTCACCTTCCACCTAACTGAGCTAAAGGCTGAAGTGTCCGAGGGAGGCTCAGAATGGGACAAGCTCGCATCCTGGGTCTTCTACGGCCTCGGAATTCACACAGGTTGACAGTCCGGCTAGAAGGCCCAGAGAATGAAGCGATAAAGCAACTCACTCTGCTTACCCTGAAACTGAGCCCAGAGTCTCTAGGATGTCCTTAACACAAGCCTCTGTTGGCCCCCATGCCAACATCGAGGGCCTCCCTGTCCTGTCAACTGATGTTCGTGATTTGCTCTGCAAAGGACCAGGATATCCTTTCACCAACTGTCCTTACCTCTGGGACTCAGCTTCAAAACTCCCAGAAGCATTCAAGCCCAGCCAGAGAAGGGAATCTCAGCAACCAGGAGCCGCTAGCCAAGAATCAAGAGAAAGCTGGCTTCCTGGTCTGAAGGAAGAAAACTTGGATCTATCAAGAATGGACAGTTCCTAACAAGGAACACAGGGGAGAGGAGGGTGGAGGTCCAGATTGCCCTCCTGCATCCAGCATCCTCTCAAGAGCCAGATGTGTGCTAGAATGCCACTAGGGACGGGTCCTCTGCCCACTCTGCTCCAGTCGCTCTCTCCATTACCTTCTCTCCATGTATGCCAACACTTGGAATCTGGTTGGCTGGGCTAAAAGGCCTTTCTCTCCACTGCAGTCCTCTGACACTAGATCTCACTCAGAGTCCTTGAAAAGGCATCTGAAGGCCCTTGTTGAGATGTGGGGAGGGGGGTGGGGGGGGAGACACGACTCTTCACCATGGCCCCCAGCCACCAGCCAAACTGCCGACTTGAGGCTGAAATCTCAAGCTGCTAAGGAATCTCCATTCTGAATTGATTTTCCAACTGGTTCCCAACTATAGTCTTCTAGCCAGGAAAAGGGCCATTGGATTTAAGTTTCCTTCACATCGCTCCATCTGGTCCTATCAGACAGAGCCTTTCAGAATCCCACAGTCTGTCATTCAGTTGAGCCCTTTGCCCAGCTTCAGAAAGGGACTTCTCAAGGGAGAAGGGACTGAAGAGTCATGACCCAAGGAGATGCCAGTCAACCCTCTCCTCTCCCACTTTGCCCTCTTCCCATCTCAGCCCCTGGATAGCAGATGGCGGTGGACATCTCTGCTCTCTGCTCATACTCCACACACATGCTTTCATATACCCATACACACCCATTATGTGCAGGATGACCAGAGCCACTTCTGTGGAGAGCTGACTCCTCAGTCTCCTCAGCTAGGAACCCCCCATGTGCAACTTGGGGTCTGTTACTGGAGGGGGCTGTCCTCCTCTACTGCTGGCCTTCAGAGAGGACCCCTACACCTGGAAGCATGCATCCTTGATGGTGGTAGGGTACAATTCAACAGCAGGCAATCTGGCTGGTTTTGCCTGAAATGCATTTTTTTTTCCTCTTGGCTCTGATCATTCTAAGCCCCAGAAAGCTGTGTTTTTCAGACCATCAATGAAGAAAAGGTCAAATTTTGTGACAGTTCATTCAGAATGAGAGTCCACCTCCCTAAGGCTGCTGGAAAGGAAGGGCTACAGGATGAATATGAGCCCAGAACATCTTCTGCCCTCCTACTCTGTCCCTCCTATCCCACAGGGTTACTGCCTCTGGTGAAAGCCAGCCTGGTGAAGGCCACGCCCCAGGGCAGGGCACTGTCCCCTGGGAGTGCTATAGCTAGGAGGTAGAAAGTCGGTGAGCAAGCAAAGGGCCCAGGACACAGCCAACACTGACTCTACCAGACTACAAATCTGCAGGACCAATCTGGAGGGCACTTCTTAGACCATGCACAGCTTCCATCAGCAAAGTCTACCTCCCTGTCTGGGTTATCCATACCCCTTTCTGCTAGAGGTAAAGGTGATCCCCTGATCCTGCTTGGTAGCCTAAGTCACTCTGGACTGCCAGCAAGCCATGACACCCCCCCCCCAGAACAGCACCTGCGCTGAAACAGATGACACACACACACACACACACACACACACACACACACACACACACACACACACACTTTCCAGAACACAGAATCCACACACAGCCTTGTAAACATCTTTTCTTCACCTGTGCAAGAGGAAATCAGAATCTATCCCTAGACCTTGCTTGCCAAGCAGCTGAGCTTTTACAAAGTATAAGGGGAGGGGGGGTTCTCTGCTGGGCAGCCACTCCTCCCTGTCACAGAGGGAGGGGGCTTACCGGATGAGCAGTGAGTGGTCTTTAAGATCTGTTTTCCCCCTTTGCAAACCTTCCCCACTCCATCTTCTTCTTCCCAAGGAGCAAACTTTGGCCTCTTCCCTTATGCCTCTAGCCCCAGGCCCCAGGGCGGTTGCTCTGAAGGCCTTGAACACCCATTTGAAAGCCTGCGCTCAAGCCTATCCATCTGGCTTGGGTCTAGGTGGGAAAGGAGGCAATAGGTAGGAAGAAACTTGCAAAGTGCTCCTGAGAGTGGGGAAATGGGGTGCTTTCCTGAGGTTGATTGGCAAGCAGGAGGTGACTACAAGGGCTCCCCGCATACGTCCAAACCAGGACCTTCTGCAGAAACCCACCGACTCAGAGAGCTATCAGGAAAGGAGAGACTAGCTAGATAGCTACCCGCCAGCCTCTCCCCTCCCTCCTTTCTTCCACACTAAGAGTTGTATTTTTTTTTTCTTCCTAACTTGCTGCAAATTGAACCCATTATTTTGAGAGAAATGAGCGTTATCACCGCCTGCAAGTAAGCGTGTGCGCGCGCGGCGCGTGAGTGCGTGCGGAGATGGTTTGAATGTTGGAAGTCTCCTTCTCAGTCCTCCGCGCAACCAGCCAGCTACCGCACCGCTCCCTCCTCCAGAACCTGCCGGGCTGTTCGCCTCCCCGGAGTCTCCCCCGGAGCCCCGGCCCAGTCTCCCAGCGCGGCGCTCTCCCGCTGTCTCCCGCGGCGCCCTGCTTGCAGCCCCCAACCCCACCCCACCCCAGTGCCCAGCTTCCAGCGGGCGCCTGAACGCGCGCAGCCCGGTGTGGCCCCCAGACTCGCCACCTGCAGGTACTCACCTAAAAAGAAGAAGAGGCAGAAGGCGTTTGCCAAGATCATGTTAAATAAATCCCACAGTTGTGTGTGTGTGTGTGTCTGTCTTTCTCCCTTGGGTTTAAAAAATAAAAATAAAATAACAACGATAATAATAACCGCCAAGCAATGATAATGACCCCCAAATCCAATGCGGAGATCCCGCCGGGCCGCCGGTGGAAGATCCGGAGTCCTGGGGTTCTGGCTGCTGGCTGGAGGGGGTGGGGTGGGAGGCGGGTGGTGGGCTGCCTCTCGACGTCCCCCTTGCCACTGAAATCAAACACACGTAGCTATGTGTCTGGCTGCCTTCTAAGCCAACAGACTAGTCCTGAGGTCAGCCCAGCCCTTCGCGCGTCCGGGAAGGCGTGAGTCCCCGCGGGTCCAATTCCCCTGCACTTCCCAGGAGGGGACTGGAGAGGTGGGGGCGAGGCGATCTGAAAGTGAAGGGCTAGAAGAAAGCAACGAGGAAGGGGGGTCAAAATCAATGCAAATAGGAAAGAAATCCACCGACGGATAAGGAGCAATCCAGTAGGAGCTTCTAGGACGGGAGACCAGAGTCGCTTCTTTGGCACCAAGACGAAGAAAAAGATTCAAAAAAAAAAGAATCTCTCCCGCTAACCCTTGCTCGGCTCACTTTTTTCTAATGGAATTCCAGTGCCGGGGTGCTTGTGCTTGCGTGTGTCTTTCTCTCCTCCCTCCCTCTCCTCTCCCTGGCTCTCGCTCTTTGCTCTCGATCTCCGCTCTCCCTCCCTACTCCCTCTCTCCCTGCTCCTCCCTCCGCCCGCTCCCTCCCCCTTCACGGCTCCCTCGCCCAGGCTCTCACGCCTCTTCCCCACTCCTCTGCCCGGGGCTCGGCGCTCCGGCTCCCTGGCGGCTGGCAGCTCGGAGCGCGGGAGCGGAGCGCGGCGGAGCAGCGACACTCTGCAGCAGCCGTGGTGGAGACTCGGCGGTGGTAGCAGCAAGGCGGCGGTGGTGCTGGCGCCAGGGAACACTGGCCTAGGGGTGAGCTCCACCTCTGGCTTCCTCTGCTCAGCTGTTCGCCCTTCCTGGGACTAGCCTGCCGCCTCGGCCAGAAACCGACTGGATCCCCGGACTAGTGTCTACGCTCAAATCTACGAAGCCCAGGAAGCCTCCACGCCCCCTCCTCTCCATGCAATGTCTCGTTCCCCCTAGACGAGGGCTTGTGTCCCCCAAGGGCCACTGCCCCTGCACTGTACTCCCTCAGGGCCATGAGGTCTCAGAAGCCTGGGAAAGCTGAGTGAGGCTGGGGTACACTGAGGCCCCCGGTGCGGGAGCCGTCCTGGATGCATGGGGGTTGGGGGGGGGGGGGGGGGCGCAGGCAGGGCAGTAGAAAAGCCCCGGCCTGGTAGAGGTCTGGAAGAGACTCTCTGCAAGATGATGGATCCCTCGTGGGAAGCCGGTCTGGGCAGCACCCCAAAGGAACTAGGGTTCCCAAAGATGCCCTGCAGGCCAGTCCTCCAAGCAGGAGAGCATCCTGAATGCCTGGGTCCAGCTCCTACACATGTGTTCTGCATGCGGAGCTTGGGAACTTTCACTGCTCACTGGCGCCTCTCTTGCCAGTAAACCCCCCAACACACAGACACAGACACACACACACACACACACACACACACACACACACACACACACACACACACACACCAGCTTTGCAGCCATTCCAGACTTTCCTTTCCCAATTGGTCTCTCATCCCCTGGACCAGAAAGAAGGTTGTCTGGGCGTCCCAACTGCCTCCTCCGAGGCCAGGGAACTAGCCTGGGTTCGCACCCCAACCTACTGGGGTGTCCCAAGACACAAGGCACCGAGGCCTCCACTTCCAAGCCCCACCCCGCACAGAGATGGCTTGGGCTCCCCAGAGCTAGTCAGGGAGCTGCTGGCCACTCCCGGGTACGGAGGCTGCAGGTGGGGACCCCTCCGGATAGGAAATCCTCCCCAAGCCGGGAAGAAGGGGACAATTGATCCATCTGTCATTGGGCCCGGCTCACCGGCGTGTTTCAGTCATGGAATTTACAATAAAAGCCCAGAAGCACCACCGAAAAAGAAGCGTCTGGCTGGGAAAGGGTTGAAGGCGAAGTGAGGTGGCTGACGGAGGTGGCGGGGGGGGGGGGGGGGGGGGGGGGGGGGGCAGACAGCCAGTGCACACACCGCAGCGCTCTCGGGATCATACAACGGACGTACACTGGGCACCCTAGTTCTGCGCTCTGGGCACCCTCTCTGACACACCCTCCGATACCCTGAATCCCTGGCTTTTCGCACTTGTGTGTCTTGCCTGCAGCTCCTGGCACCCTGATTGTTAGGGCCTGGTTTACACCCGTGTCTCATCAACTTTCAATGCTGAAAAAAAAAAAAGAAAGAAAGAAAGTGGTCAACATCCAAAGCTTATTTGGGAGTGTCTTTTAAAAATACATTGCTAAATATCAAGACGGTGGAATAGAAGAAATGCTAGAAATCTGCTTCGTGTGAAGAGAGGGGTCATTCACAAAACCAGGAGCCTTAGCTAGAGGGAGCAACTTCCATCTTGTGGATTTAGGCAGGAAGGCAGCTTTTCCCAACTGTGAGAAGTGCCTAATAGGTGTCTCATATAGCCCATTGAAAGACAATGTTCCTAGGTCCTACATCCAATAACAACCACTGTGATAACTAGGTAGTGGAGGGTTTCCAGCAGAAAGTGGGGAAATGCTCAGGACTGAAGCAACAGAATGCTGGCTTCCCTCCGTCCCTCCTCCAGGCCAATTCTGTTTTACAAAATGACTTCCCAAGAACCTTGGGAAGTCTCCTAGGTTCTTTCCAAAAAGTGGGGAACTTAAAGATCTGATGTCAGCCAAGTGTAGGCAAGTGTAGGTTAAAAGATGAAAAGCAATATGAGTTATACCTCTAGGGACTCTTAGCTCAGAAGCCCTCAGAGGCTGAGAGCCTCAGCATTAAATAAATAAAGGCCTTTTCACTCACTCATCTACTTCCAGAGCCTTCTGATGGTCCAGGCCTTGCCCACCTCCACTCATCTGTATCCCTTAAAGGTCTCTCTTTCAAGGATACCCTAGAGGCTTCAAAACTACTGCTGAGCAATCCTTCCTTTACTCAGACCACATACATACATCTTACCTCTGTTAAGCCCTAGTTGAGTATAAGGAGGAAAAGGCCCTGAAACATCATTTTTGTCCCCAGGAATAGTTAAGTGTACTGAGCAAGCAGTAAAAGCAGCCAGGGATGAGCTCTACTGAGTTCCCATGGGAACAGGGATATAGGATTCTGGTAGGAGGAAGTGAGTGACTTTGAGAAGCTCCAGGCCTTCAGGACCATCCTCGCAAGGACAAGGAGAAGTACCCACCACCACCACCACCACCACCACCACCATCTGGCTTGTGTGACCGTGGGACACATTTACCTTGAACCCTCTTCCCCCCTATCTGCACTAAGACCCATCACCATCTTCCAAATGCCAATCTGAACGGCTGTTAGGTAGGGTTCAGTCCATTCACCAGGATCTACTGAGGAGAATGTGTTAGGCAGGGGCAATTTAATCTCTCTGAACCCTCAATTACCTCACATGTAAAGTGGAGAGATTCCTTAAAAAGCAACTTTGTGAAAGTTAGACAAGACACCGCACACAAAGCCGCTGGTAGAATGCCTGTCTCACCCCTTCCCTCCTGGATCCAAAATAAGAATGAGGCTGTAGGATCTAAGCGTAATGAGAAACAGATTAAAAAACAGCAAGGGTTCAAGAGAAGCTGAGAGTGTTTTCTAGAAGATGGGAGCAGATCTTGCAAGAGGAAGTTATTGGGGGGGGGGTGTCCGTTGGTAAATGAGACATGACACACTTAGATTCCCTGTGTCCTTTACAGTTTCCATGGGTCCCACCTCTGTGTGCCTGTGTTTGCACTGAGAGGGGGTGGGCAGCCCCTGGACACAGACTCAGCGTCACGACGTTCAGGGGGAGAGAAAGAGGACCATGAACCTCAGTGCCTCCTCTCCTTTGTCTTATGGAGAAGATTCTATCCAAAGCATGAGCAGTAAGGAGCAAGGAGGCACAGAGTAACCCACCCACACAAAGTGCAGAATCTCTTCCTTCCTGTAAGGGCGAAGGCTGAGGGCTCCCTGGCCTACAGGAGGAAACCAACCAAGAGTTAAAAAAAGAAAAAGAAAAATGGCACCCCCATCGTGCAAAAACACACCAGGAAACACAGAGGTGTGCTCCACCACAGGACAGCAGCCCAACCCAGGACATTCACCACCAGCCAACCAGAATAAATTTACCAGATGCCTTATCTCTCCTCAGAACTGCACCAAAGGCTGTGGGCATAGGGCTGGGGTGTCTCCCTTGGGAAGCATTTAGAGATGGAGGTAGTCATTGCCTCTGTGAAAAGAGCAGGCACAACCTGAGGAACCACTGGATTTCAGGACAGCTGTCCAAAGGGATCTCACTGTTCGCAAATGTGAGACTCATCCTGAGGTGTGAGCAAATTTGTCCAGGGATGTTTCAGGCACGGGAGTTGTGTGTGAGGCTGCTGCAGTGAGGAAGGTCTGAGACATCCAGCAGTTGAGAAGAGCCTAGAGCACAAGCGGGAGAGGCCCGCTGGGAGGAGATTTGAAAGATCCCACTGGGAGGCAGGGTCGAGTGCCACATAGCACAGGCTTTAGACTTGAGCCTCAAGCAGCCACTAAAGGCATTGGGCAGGTATGTGACCTCATAATTTTAGTATACTGATATGACATGGGTATGAAAGATGCAGATGAGTTGGGGGGCAGTTGTGACAGTGTTGGCTTGAGGTAATGAGAGCCCCTAACAGGAGGTGGTTGTCAAGACTGTGCATTCTAAAACGAATCCGCAAGATGTTGGTAACAATTCGAACACGGTGAATGGGGGAGGGAAATTGCCATCTCCTCGAGAATGGCCAGGCTTGGATAAAGACACCAACTCTCATTTTGTGGGCTTTGCCATGGGGAGAAAATAAAAAGGAGTGGACTTGCTGGTGGAATACAAGCTAATATTCATTCTTATACTAACTCCATGGGCTAGGTTAGGGGTTTAACTTACACAAAGTCCTATTCTAAGTGGGATAAAGTTAGGCAGCTGAGATTCGGGGACCTGTATTAGACAATCTGGGTTCCATATGAATAAACAAAATGACAGCAGCTCTCTAGGCCTATAAATTCTGTATCTGCATTAAGGACATCTGAGATAATCCCTTTCTCCCTTCCCTGTCTATGTTAAAAAAAAAAAAAATCATGAGACTCAAAATCCTTTTTGTTATTTATACTTTGGGCCTGTCTGGCTTCATCATTGGAGTTCAAAGCTTGAGGCTGGAAAGGATCCTGTCCACATGAAACAGGTTCACAATGTCCAGCTCTGTGTCCCGAGTCTGGATTATCTTAGAGTTACCAGCCCTTTTCTGGAATGACAGCAGAGTCCCAGTTAGCATTGCCTTGGTCCAAGTCTTTATGGATCCCAAGGCACAGCCCCGAAGGAAGGAGCTGAAGGAAGGAGCTAGCCTGGGGGTTAACTAAACCTTCTGCTTCTCTGAGAGCGAACAAGGCTTCACAGCAGGGTCAGTGAGGCCAGAGGAGGAAGAGAGCGTACTGCACTCAGGGGCATTGATTCCTCTAATTGATTTCAGTCTGTGTTCTTAGTACTTCTCATCCCCTGTAGAGGTAGGATCTCTGCGAAAGGTAGAATCTCTCTACTTAGCCCCTTCTCAAGCCCCAGGGGCTGCTCTGTGACCTCACCCAGCCCAGGGAGCCCCCC